GATTTTAGCAAATGGCTGCAATGAAACAAAGAATGAAAAATTTAAAGGGGTCTGAATACTTTCTGTACCCACTGTATTACTGACTCAATAAATTAAACATGTGATTTTCAGACAATTTTCATGTAAAATCTAAAAACTGACTTTGATTAAATTGTGGATGGACTATAATTATTGGAGCTGGTCAATTACAGATTATCCTGATAATTAAATTATTATTATTGATTATTGGTTGATAATAATAATGTATTTATGCTCTCAGCCTTTATTACATCAGCTGTGTAAAAGCAGTTCATCCACTTGATCAGTTCTGTTGGTATGGGCTGTAAGTGGCAGGTAATGGTTACGGCGGGCTCCATACGTCCCTGTTAAAAGTGTCTGTGGTCAAAGCTCTGAAATCCGACACTTGAGAGTGGACTCTAACGTCGTGCTGCCTTCACTGACTGCTGAATGTTTCAGTCCACATTTTAAACCATCAGAACTCGCTCAGACGTTTATGTTACAGGATGCTTTAAATAACAGTGTGGGTTTTTAGCTTCTGGAGATAGCAACAGTGAGAGTTCTGCAACATCATTTTTAAGATCGACTTAACCGGCATAAACAGTTTCTAAGAATAAAAGACTAATTTTAAACGTCATTTTCTGGTTCCACAATTCTGTTTTTATTGTCTCCATGAAACAGGAAGCAGCTGTTTGTATATCGTGTAAGAACAGGCAGTTAGGGACCTGTCGCTGTAGCTAATAGCGCTGTCTGCTACGTCCCCCCAGTCCAGCAGCTGTAGTGGATCCATTAGTGGACTCTGTCGGACTGGGAGCTCCCAGTGAACAGCAGGTCCAGACTGGGACTGAATGCAGCATCTGATGCTGACGGAGGACAGTTTGACTGCAGGGAATAAAGGACTGAGGAGGTTGTAAGTCTGCGTCTGACTCTGCGGTTGTGTTCACTGGCTCCTGTCCGACTCTCTTCCTCTCCTCTTGGGGCAACAGCAGCCAGCGTGGTGGAGCTGGTCCTGCTGATCTGGCTCCAGCCAATATGAGTTTCAGCCGTTATAAAGCCGTTTAAAGGAGCCAGTCGATTTGAACACATTTGAACACACATCAGACATTCAGGCGCAGTGGCAGACTGTTGGAGGCTGTTTCGGGGCAGCAGCTGTGCGGTGCAGTACCACGGCTTCGTCCAATGCAAGTTTTGTCCAGCAGTGTCTAATGCAACGTGGGCGTGGTCATTAACCAGGTGTGACAGAGACCTGCTGCTCTCCTGTAAAGGGGATTTTTGACCTCAATGGATCAAATAAAAATGCATAAAGTGATATTTTCTGCAATAAAGCCGAACAAAATAACAGATTCAAAGAAAAGTATGAATATGTGCCAGACAAACGGATCAGAACTACGTTATCACGTAAAGGTTTGCTGTATTTTATCATGGTACAACAATAACTTTATTGTTATAATGTGAAACCTTTTAGGTCATAACAGGATCAAAAGTTAATAATCATAACAAGAAAATACCTTGTTAAACATTTTTCTGATGTGATACTGATCCGTCGGGTTCAATGAGGGTCTTTCTTACTGAATCCTGGAAACACGGCCGACATAAACCTGGATGTGGGTTCTGTTTGAAACTGGACTGTTGGTCTCAGCAGCTGCATTAAAACTGCAGGGAAATGTTGAACCTGCTGCTCAACTATATCTAAATACTATATACTATATCTATATCTATATAGTATATATACTATATATCTATATCTATATACTATATACGTGCTGTCCTGAGTGGGAGAGAGAGTGGGAACCTTCAGCAGAACAATGTGGGAGAGACTTTCTGATTATTCTGACAGGTGTTACAGTTGCGATATGATCCAGGATCAGTTTAAGTCCTGATGCTGTTTCATTAGTTGAGGTCTTCAATCTGCAGATGATTTGTAGGCAGCTCTGCAGAACTTCATCATAAAGCTGTTTGTCACATTTTACCTTCGTATCAGACCAACTGCAGCTTCTTGTGAGTTACACACCACGACCGTGCAGCTCTAATATATGTGAGGACGGATTGTGCAGGATGACGTCACCCAAAACCATCCAATCACATGACTTGGTGACTGCGTAAGCTACAGACAGACGTGAGTTCAGACACATGTAGGCGGCTGATAAGACCTTCAGTTACACCACGTTCAGAGTGACCCTGGATCTGTTCACTGATGGAGGCAGACTATTAACAGGGATCTTCAGTACGTTCTCACCGGAAAATGTCCAAACCCTAATCTCTCGTTACACTGGTATCTTCGGGCTACAGACGTCAGCTCACCGCCAGCACACGTTTTCTTGAGCTTTTTTTAGCAGCTGGACGAAGGTTCTTCCTGATACAAACACATATTTCTGTCTTCAAACACAGTGGTGTTAATGTGAGCTCAAACGTCCCAGCAGAGAGTCCAAAGTGCTCCACACTCAATAATAATAATAATTATTAATATTAATATTATATGGCATTTTCCTGATGGCAGTCTATCAGGGGCTAGTGGGGGTCTTATGATGTGTTCCCATCTAACCCCGTAACATGAGGCAAATATTGTCCCTTTAGTCTGTCTCACTGTTTGTGGCAGTTTGAGCCCAAAATAATCAGATTTTACTGTAATTTTATTTCCATAAAATGATGTTGAAATAACGACACCATGATGGAGATTTGTAAAAAGAATTCAGACTCTGTCGATGTGTCTGTTAGACGACGAGCAGACAACCTTAAAATGCTTGTTTTCTGAATGGAGTTTGGTTTTTGTTGCTTTTCTTAAATATTGTCTTATTTTCTTGTATTGAGCAGAAGGATGTGCCGGTGGGGTCCGACTGTCCGACTGTAATAAACATTAAAGCTGGGTCGGGATAAGATGGTTGGAAGGATGTTGAACTTTTAAAATGCTTGTTTTCTGTACGTAATCCACCCGCAGGAACAGTTTTATTGGTGTTTGGTGTGAGCAGCATTACACCAGAGCTAAGCTAACAGGGGCTAGTGGAGGCTAATGTATTGAGGCTAACAGTTCTTTCCAGCCAGGGCTAAGCTAATAATGATAATAGGGGTCAGGGCTATAATAAGGTTTGTGGGACAGGTCTCAGGATGTGGCGTGGTCTGACGGGGATGGAGGTCTGGAGCAGGAGGTCTATGTGGACTGATGGGGACTGTGCTGGGTTTCGGTGTTGCAGTGTGTCTGCAGCTCTGAGGCTCAGATGAGTCATTCTGCTGCTGCACCATGACAACAGAGAGGAGGGGGGGGTATTCCAGATCAGACCATCACTGCACACACAAAACCTAATGCTGGTTTAAAGAGTCCTCTTTGTCCCTCTTTAGATGTTCTGGTCCAACATTTGGTTCCTGCTTTGGGATTCTAGCAGCTGGTTTCAGTCTCGACCCTCTAACCTCACACAGCTCCTCTGCTGGAGATCATTGAGGGACCCTAACCCAGGATGTGGGACGGGAACTATCTGTTCAATGTGGACAACGAGTACAGCAGCAGCAGCGAGTGAAACCAGAACATCTGGATGGTGTTGGTGGTTAAACCTCAGTATCACAGAGAGTACAGGCCCATCAACAGCAGCGGTAATCTTTTAGAACCTGCAGTAACTCCCAGTTCCCTGATTTTGGACATTTGAAGAAGGTGAAGGGGACAGGAAGTTGGTGGTAGATGTCGCTCCTCTTCCTCAGAGTGATAACTGTTAATGTGAACAGACTCTATGGCTACAGACTCTCTGTTGACCTCTGCAGCTCCACCGATATCTGATTTATCTAAAGATTCGTACCATCACTCAACGTTACACCTCCTGTCTAATCCCCCAAAGCATCGTGGGAACTGTAGTTCCAGAACTGAGAGCATCATTATCCCCAGATACAGTAATATGAATATGAACGCAGGTCGTCTTTGTTCTCAGTCGGCTGCGTTTGGAGGCGGAGCCATGGGATGTAAGAAGTGACATCATCAGTCAGAGCGCTGTCACTGTGGCGTTGTGACAAGCGGCCAGCGAGGCGTAAGAACTAGGTCAGGAGTTGTAGTCAGGGTTACCGTAGCAACGGGATCAGTAGGTCACAGCTGCTGCTGCTCAGGCATGCTGGGAAATGTAGTCAGCTGTCAGGCGTGGCCTTGTAAAGACCCAGAAACATTCCCAGGGTGCACTGCAGTCTCACTCTTTTCTTCCTCTTTACATGTGTCACTCTTTCACATGTTGTTGTTGTTGTTGAGTGTTTGCGGTGGGAAGCACTCGGGGCTGCGTGTTTGTATGAAAGCTGCTGTATCAATAAAGTTGAGTTGTATTGATCGGAGCTGTAGACACTACAGATACTGTTAATTCATGTTGAAATATATAATGTATATAATAACCACGGTGTAAAGGTGTCCCTGAAGGCAGCATTCATGTTCTCTGTGATCTCATTGGATGGACTCTCTGCCCCGAGTGCAGTTGCAATATATTGAACATATTGATAATATAATAATATTCTGACAAGCTCTCTCCATACGGACTGGTCTGATTGAAACATGAATAGGAAGTTTATATTGTAAGTGTTTTATAGTTTAGGTTTTACAGGTTGTTCACTGGGTGGAGCCGGTAAAGTTACCTGATTATTATTATTATTATTATTATTAGCTTAGCACTCGGTTGCAGGTCTACTTGAGCTCTGATTCTCTGCCCCGAACCCAATGGCCCCTGATACGAGCCTCTGGCTTAGAGCTGCAGCCATAGGCGATCAATCGATTAGTTTAAATTAATCACCAACTATTTTGATAATGGATTGATGGTTCTGTCCACATTCTCTGATTTCCTCTCGGACCTTAAACGGAGAATCTTCAGGTCGAGACATTTAACTAATCGATTAATCAAGAATATGATCAGATTGATCATATTGATCGTATTGGTTAGCTGCAGCGCTAACGGGTTCTGTCTGAATTGGATTAATAAATCACATGTCTGCTGAGTGAAAGGTCAAAGGTCACCACTTTAATGTTATTTTACCGTTTCCACCCTCAGGTACTCTGCAAGGATGAGGCAGTGAGCATGCTCAGAGCGCTGATCGTTACCATGGCGATATTCGGCGCCGGCGGCCAGGCGTGCAGCGGTCAGGACAACTGCTCCGCCCACAGCGAGTCCAAAGACTACTGCTACTCCGCACGCATCCGCAGCACGGTGCTGCAGGGGCTGCCGTTCGGAGGAGTGCCCACCGTGCTCGCCCTCGACTTCATGTGCTTCCTGGTGAGTCGCCACTGCACGCGCTCAGTGCAGCACACAAACATACAACAGCTCTGCTGTCTAAGGGAACAGGGTGCATTGTGTATGGAAAAATCAATACTGCAGCGTGATTGATCGACCCACATACTGTGTGTTTGTGTCGGTGACCTTTGACCTGATGAGACGTCTAACAGGAAGTCCTCCTCTGTCCTCTTCTTCTTCAGGTGCTGCTCTTCGTCTTTTCCATTCTGCGGAAAGTTGCGTGGGACTACGGACGCCTGGCGCTGGTCACTGACGCCGACAGGTAAACAGGAAACGCATCATCAGAGCAATGTCAACATGGGGGTGG